GTTATGAGGATTTGAATTTGAGAGATTGTGTAAACGTAAATCCTCTTTTTTTTTTTTTTATCATCAGATTATCCAATAATGATAAATATTAAGTTTAACAAAAAAAAGTCTATGCACAAAACTAATTAACCCAGCTGAATCAATTGGATTTAAATTAATTTGGTTTGATTCCGGTTATTAATTGAACAGGTTGATGGGTCAAACCTAAATCAACTTGGACCATGCACATTGGAACGCTACATGATGATGGTGTGATCAACTCAGTACCATTTAACATGAAAAGCTAATAATTGGCAACAATGATCAAAGATTTATCAGGCATCAACACTCCAACAAAACAAACAAGTAAACCAGGACTACTAAAATGTAAGAGTTTCAGCAACCTATCCTAACTAGTATCATAGATAGGTTGAGCCCACCATTACTTTACCATCCAACAACACATTCCAATTCAAGTATTGGTCATATTCACTAATTTCTTTGTCTGAGTGGATAGGATCCACTAGACTAGTTCACCAAGCTAAATCCAAACCCTTGCCAATTCACCAGCCAAAGACCTTGTGATATACATACCAATGAAATATTGTAAATAGGAAAATTATGCATATTTAATTCATTCTTATCATCAAATTTTCTGGAATTCCATATCACATAAACATGTAATTCCTTGACTAGTTGATTATACTTGAATGAAAGGCAAATTTCCTAGCAAGGTTAAGGTGTGAGTGTGGACTAATCTTAGAAAAATCAACACAAATGATTTGACTCAAAAGAGAAGAGTTTATATCTCATCATCTTGATGTGCATTTTTTTTGCAAAATAAGACTTGGAGTGTTGACCACTTGTTCTTGCAATGCCCCTCTGCAAATTTTTGGGCGAATGTGCTTACGGTTTATCAGTTTTGGGCAACACCCTCTTGTTCTTTGGCTTTGTTAGAGAGACATGTTTTGGGAGGCAGAAGAAAAGCTTTGTGTTATGAATCCTGTAGTTATGAAATTTTTTGGTTCTATGCAAGAGAGAAGAATTTTTAAAATATAAGTGGGGAAGAGATCTGTCTATGTGGTAAAGTAAATTTTTGAGATTCATTTTGGGCGTCTATTACTTCAGATTCGCATTTTCTTTCTTTTCTATTCATCACAGTTGGGAACTCAATGGTGCAGCTAAAGAAAATTTTGAACAGGTATTTTTTTAGTAGATTTGATGATTTACCTCACATATACTTGGTGCCAACAAAAAAAAAATGGATAGAACTTCGTATTCTGTATCCAAGTAACAAAAGTTGTCTGACACACCTTTGAAGATAGTATACTAAGAAGTCACAATCATCCAGAGAAGGTACATTGTTTCAAGTTCTTAATAAATGCCATACTTGCCCATTTGGCGTCAACAATGATTCTGGTTGCATAGCTACAGGCTTCATCTCATCCGGCTTCCCGGATTGTTGAGATACAGAAAATTTCAAGTAGTCAATCCATTTTACATCAAAAATAAGTCTCAGGTCTTACTACTTCAATGGAATAAAAGTTTAAGTTTTGTGTAGATCCACTACCCTAACCCATAACAAAAAACATAACAATAGAAGCAAATTTATAATCAATATTCAAATTTCAAATTTCAAAATCTTGCATCTTAGCAAACTAAGAACTCACAAATCATCTTGTCCAAATAAACATATCTTGACAGAGTATCAATAATTAGTGTTTGATGATGTATAATGTAATCTGTTTTACAGATCAATCTAGACAACCCTGAAAAATCATCACCAAGTCATAAGTAAATAGAAGCTATCTAAGTTTCAATATTTTCAATCCAGAAAAAAGGCAATAGCATATATTTTATTGTCTTCACAGAAGATGATTTGTGGAAACTTACTAAGTTGGACCTATTACATTTGTATCAAGCTTATAAAATATGATATAAAAAAGGGCGTAGCTTCTCAGAGATTAAGTGCTGCAGGATGCGGTGTCAAAAACACAATGAGATTTTTTTTTTTGAGGAAGAAAAATTCTTGATGTAGTCTCGTCGCTTATGTGCAAAAGTGTAGAAAGAGAAAGAAAGGCTTGCTAGAATGATTTTCAGGAAGTTAAAATCATGGTACATTTTGGATGATTTTGAGAATGATTCTGTATTAGTTTGTATTTAGATATTATCTCCCTGTTTCTTTAGACAAGCTTTTATGATGCACTGATGGTTCAATTTTCTGTAATTTCTTTCTTCATTAATAAAATGGTTTCACATTTTTATTTTTTTTTTTTTTTTTTTTTAGAAAAAACGATACAACCTCTATCCTGTTGGCATAAGAATCCACTTCCATGGTTGAAGGCTTAACATCAATTGGAGTTCCTGAAGGTAAATGAGCAACCATCGAGTTTCATCCTATAATCTGAGCTTGTTTATTAAGAAAAAAAAATTGAAATAAGCCCCCATAGCACTGCTAATGCTAGCTCTTTAATGATAATTGATTCACACACAAAAAATGACAATGAAGAACATCATTAAAGTTTTTTCTAAACCCTTTTCATTCAAGCAACAGAAATATTAAGCCTCAAAGATAGGTGTATAGAATTATTTCTCTTTCTCTGATTTTAGATTATTGCAGAACCTACTCTATCTCCTGATCATTTACAAAATTTGTACATAATTAGAAAAAAAATTTAGCTTTCTCAGTGTACAAGACCTAGGTTATTCAATACATACCAACTCATTTTCATAGGAACTAGTCCTTCCCCCCTTCGTAGATCTCTCAAGGTTCCCTTCCATAAAACAGATTAAAAGGTAAGTTACAGCAGCAGAAAATCATATTTTAAAACAAGTTAAGCATGTACAACCCCACAAGTGTCCAGTTAAAAGAGGTAAACAATATCTAAGACACATTTATGTCCATGAGAGTAATGTTCATCAACAGCACAGGATTTTTCACTCTTTTCATGCAAGCAAACCATTTCAGATACAGTTTGACAACCCATGTGCAGCTGACTACATTAAATTGCATAGATTGAAGAATATCATGTTTGCACCTTATATTGAATGGAAATAGGCAATTCCAAGTGGGGAACCAAAAATTAAAGAGCTCAGCAACTTGACAGCCGAAACAATTCAATTATCTTGTATTTCAGGGAAAGTATACATATAAGTTCACCATATCTACCTTGTTTGCCCACATAAGGCCACAAGCATTGCAAAGAGTTCTTGGACCAGCTGGCCCCCTACGCATTGCTGGAGTGAACTGCTACTTCCCCCACAATGTTGACATCTTCGTAAACTAATTGAATTGCTAAACAAGCAGTAAAGAAAAAGACCACTATTAGAATTAAATGAAAACATAAAGAAATATGTCATAGCCATAGAAGCCATATCATAGACCTAATGCTTTAATAGCTGAACTTTGCAAATAACAAACATCAAACTCCACAACAGAAGCAGCACCATTGCTTCGTTCGAGTTTACAACATCTGTATTATAAGATCCTTCGATGTATGATGTCCATTCTTACAGTTCATCCAGCAAAATAGAATTGCTAGCATTAAACCAACATTTCAATGTCTCAAATAACACAAGCCTCCATGATGGAATATTGTCACATCTAACAAATGAAGAACAGCAGAATAAATTACTCTAAAACATATAACTCAAAAAGTATAATTAATAAAGATCAATGACCTACACTCACATATCCAGCAAATTTATATGCAAAAATAGCTTCACCTACTATGTGCACCAAATTTGAGGATGTATGTTTCAATGCACTGAGTTATACATTTGTTTATGTGTGAGAAGGAGGAGAAACCCAAAGGAAGTTCACATCATATCAACCAGTATCAAAACCCTCATTTTTTTCCCAGTGCAGATTGTAGAGAATTGCAGGGACAATTAGAGTGCATGACAATAAAGATTTTAACATTGCTATTCTTGAAAAAAGAACAATTAGAGTACACTTATCTCCTATCATGTACTCCCTCTTAAGTAAGAATGGAGTACTTGCGGAACAGAGTTAGCACCTTACCTCTCAGCAACCTCTTTCCGACAACTATACCTAATTTTCTTTTCAAAGCATCTTTCTTTCCGCTTTTCACGAAATCTGCAAGGCAATTCTTCGTGAAAGCTTTGACCCATGTGAGCATTTCCACAACCTGGAAGAGAGATTATCAGTAAACTTGACAATGTAACACAGCTTTACATAATTTTCTATAAGAAAGGTAGTATTGATGTGATACAACCTTTGACGTTTTCTTGGAGAAAACTTCAGATTGAACACAGCAGGAATATCACCCTCCCCCAGCAATAAAAGCAGTGCTTGCACCTGACATACCATTCCACCAAGTTAAGAAACAAAAAATACACCAAAACAGAACTCCTAAAGCTTTCAATTTCTAATTGCTTATAAACAATAAACCGAATTTCAGAACATCGTCCAATGTCCATGTGGCTTGCTTCCCTCAATTATTCCTAAAGTTTTACAAGATGCTTTCCCTGAGAATGAAGAAGAGGTTCTTTCAAATTCCATGACTTCGGCTGATCTTGGCTTGGGCACTTGATGAGCTCATTGCCTTTGGAAATTGTACAAAGCTTCTAATGTTTGATTTTCTGTTAATTTTAGTAACTGAAAATATTTTATAAAGATACTGTTCTAAGCCTAAAGATTCAATAAATGAAAGAAATTATGTTGGGCTGAATATTGTATCATGTCTGTTCGGGTATTACAAATTAAAATAGATTTTTTTTTTCTGTGTTTTGTTGCCAAATTAACATCGTAATCATGCTTTATGCACTTCTGATGGCAAAATAATTTTTGTAGTTTTTTATTTTATCTTACTTGCAACATATTTTTTCTTCTTTTTGGGTTATCCCATGAAGAGAACAGCATTTGTGATATTATTGCATATATCAAAATGTATAAAATTGATAAATAAATAACGTTACGCAAACTGGCCTGAACAACCGCATGATAAAAAAAAACAAAATATAAATATATATATATATATATTGTAGCTACTTGCAGTTCCATGAGAATCCAAAAGTATGACAATGTGAAGAATACTGAAAATTAAACAATGTACTAAATAGACATCTTATTAAGACCAAAATCAATCGATTGTGATGACTATATATGTGCAACTAATCCAAATTGAATTCACTCGGAACAAAAAATTTCAGATAAAAGTTTCAGGATTTTATTCACATTATATTAACTGAACAAGCTACAACAAAATATACGTCTATTCTGTGTCTATAGACAAACTATCTTTAGGTATTTAATATTTAGCAGACTGCCTTGATCTTACTAGCAAGTGCACAATGTCGCAAACACATGGCACGATCTCAAGTCTCCGGCCAGTCAGTTACCAAATTGGAACCGTCAACATCAACCTGTAAAAAGTGGTATCATGAGCTGAAGCACACTATTATTTTAACTATTTTTCATTATATGGGCAAAGCTCAGATATGAAATCAATACCTGAGCATTGAAATGAGAAGGGATTTCAAAATCTGATCCTGAAGCATCCGCAAGCTCATCCACTGTGTCCTGCAAGTCCTGCTGCATATTAAGACAAGTTATTATCACTTCTTTTCAAGTCACTACAGTACTAAATTTCTTTCAATCGACAAGGTGTAAGATCAATCTCCAACAACCAATTGGTTTCTAGTTATAAATATAGGGAACCATATTACCATCTAAAATGATAAAGCTATTGAGCCATATTGCAATTAATTTTGGTTCCATTTCTTGGTTTTTCTAATTTTCATGTAATATACGCTAAAAGTTGCTTCCTACTGTAAACTTAAGTAGATATGCAGCACATATTTGCAAAAGAATTAAAGATACTGAGCCAAGTAGTGGTTGTGAATCTATATCATACAAATTATTTATAAGCAAGCAAAATACCTCCTCATCAAGGTTCATCAATGAATTCTCCACTTCGATGGGCAAATGATTTGTATCATCTCTTTCCAACAAATACTGCTCATTGTTCAACTATTATTTGACAAGCATGAATATAACAGTTAGCTATAAATTGTTGGTTTTACTAGCAGGAATTTAAAATGTCAATTAAATGCACAACCAAATGGAACAAACATGTAACAAATCCATGGAAGCCTAGAAGATTATGAAAAACAACATTACAACTAAAAAGCTAACATTAGTCACCATATTATCCAACCAGAAAATGAAAAATTAAAAGTAAGTTGAGATGTGAAACATTTATATTGCAATACAATTTCAGTTTTCTATCCAGAGAGAGAGAGAGAGAGAGAGATGTGGTCATCGCTCATTAGGGTTTTCGTTCTCATGGTGATCTAAATAGTCCACAATTGTAACTTCATCTATAGTTTCTTATAAGAGGGAAAAAAAAACCCATCAATGCAGATATTTTCATGTTCTTTTTCCTTTTTCCTAGTTCTCAAGCAAATCAATATTAATACTGACACCATAATGACTGTTTTGGTTTTATTTAGCAGTAAGCAAGAATAATAATAGCAATAACAACTCACTTTCAATTATATTTTCCACAACAGCCCACTTAAAAATGAGAAACAAGCTCTCAAGCGTTACATTATCAAGGAGAATGAGAAAAGAATTAACATTTTCTACCTTTCCTTTTTTATCATGGATGTATACTGAGGAACAAACAAGAAAGAAAAAGGAGAATCATGACACTCATTACAAGTAGTGAGTAAACAAAAACCAAATACAATACAGAAGTTTTGTGGCAAGTAGATGCCAAACATGCAGAACACTATCATATATTCATAGTTTCCTCTTTCATTCTCTTCCCTTTCTATTCATCAATCAATCACTAGAAAATTTTTAAAAGTAGAAATCTCAAAACAAAAATATGTATTTCCTTAGGGTATCACCTACTTAGGTTCCTAGTTCTATTAGGATAATAGTTTTTTAATTGGAAATACCAGTACTGTCCCAATAAAATGTTCAATATTTAACTTGGAGCATCAACACTCCACAAAACAAACAAGTAAAACCAGGACTACTACAAAATGTAAGAGGTTTCAGCAACCTATCCTAAACTAGTATCAATAGATAGGTTTGAGCCCACCATTACTTTTACCATCCAACAACACATTCCAATTCAAAGTAGTTGGTCATATTCACTAATTTCTTTGTCTGAGTGGATAGGATCCACTAGACTAGTTCACCAAGCTAAATCCAAACCCTTGCCAATTCACCAGCCAAAGACCTTTTGGATATACATACCAATGAAATATTGTAAATAGGAAAATTATGCATATTTAATTCATTCTTATCATCAAATTTTCTGGATATTCCATATCAACAATAAAACATGTAATTCCTTGACTAGTTGATTATACTTGAAATGAAAGGCAAATTTCCTAGCAAGGTTAAGGTGTGAGTGTGGACTATAGTTCTTAGAAAAATCAACACAAATGATTTGACTCAAAAGAGAAGAGTTTATATCTCATCATCTCTGAATTGGTGCATTTTTTTGCAAAATAAAAGACTTTGGGAGTGTTGACCACTTGTTCTTGCAATGCCCCTCTGCAAAATTTTTGTGGACGAATGTGCTTACGGAGTTTAATCAGTTTTGGGCAACACCCTCTTGTTCTTTGGCTTTGTTAGAGAGACATTGTTTTGGGAGGCAGAAGAAAAGCTTTTGTGTTATGGAATCCTGTAGTTATGGAAATTTTTTGGGTTCTATGGCAAGAGAGAAGAATTTTTTAAAATATAAGTGGGGAAGAGATCTTGTCTATGTGGCATAAAGTAAATTTTTGAGATTCATTTTGGGCGTCTATTACTTCAGAATTCGCATTTTCTTTCTTTTCTATTCATCACAGTTGGGAAACTTCAATGGTGCAGCTAAAGAAAATTTTGAACAGGTATTTTTTTATGTAGATTTGATGATTTACCTCACATATACTTGGTGCCAACAAAAAAAAAATGGATAGAACTTCTGATTCTGTATCCTAAGTAACAAAAGTTGTCTGACACACCTTTGAAGATAGTTATACTAAGAAGTCACAAATCATCCAGAGAAGGTACATTGTTTCAAGTTCTTAATAAATGCCATACTTGCCCATTTGGCGTCAACAAATGATTTTCTGGTTGCATAGCTACAGGCTTCATCTCATCCAGGCTTCCCTGATTGTTGAGATACAGAAAATTTCAAGTAGTCAATCCAATTTTACATCAAAAATAAGTCTCAGGTCTTACCTACTTCAATGGAATAAAAGTTTAAGTTTTGTGTAGATCCACTACCCTAACTCATAACAAAAAAACATAACAATAGAAGCAAATTTATAATCAATATTTCAAATTTCAAATTTCAAAATCTTGCATCTTAGCAAACTAAGAACTCACAAATCATCTTGGTCCAAATAAACATATCTTTGACAGAAGTATCAATAATTAGTGTTTGATGATGTATAATGTAATCTGTTTTACAGATCAATCTAGTACAACCCTGAAAAATCATCACCAAGTACATAAGTAAAATAGAAGCTATCTTACAAGTTTCAATATTTTCAATCCAGAAAAAAGAGCAATAGCATATTATTTTATTGTCTTCACAGAAGATAGATTTGTGGAAACTTACTAAGTTGAGACCTATTACATTTGTATCAAGCTTATAAAATATGATATAAAAAAAGGGCGTAGCGTCTCAGAGATTGAAGGTGCTGCAGGATGCGGTGTCAAAAACACAATGAGATTTTTTTTGAGGAAGAAAAATTCTTGATGTAGTCTCGTCGTCTTATGTGCAAAAGTGTAGAAAGAGAAAGAAAGGCTTGTTCAGAATTGATTTTCAGGAAGTTTAAAATCATTGTACATTTTGGATGATTTTGAGAATGGAATTCTGTATTAGTTTGATATTTAGAATATTATCTCCCTGTTTCTTTAGACTAAGCTTTTATGATGCACTGATGGTTCAGAATTTCTGTAATTTCTTTCTTCATTAATAAAATGGTTTCACATTTTTATTTTTTTATTTTTTTTGGTAGAAAAAACTGACATTAACCTGCTCATCCTGGTTGGCATAAGAATTTTCCACTTCCATGGTTGAAGGCTTAACATCACTTTGAGTTTCCTGAAGGTTAAATGAGCAACCATCAGAGTTTTCATCCTATAATCTGAGCTTGTTATTTAAGAAAAAAAAATTGAAATAAGAGCCCCATAGCACTGCTAATGCTAGCTCTTTAATTGATAATTGATTCACACACAAAAAATGACAATGAATGAACATCATTAATAAGTATTTTTCTAAACCCTTTTTCATTCAAGCAACAGAAATATTAAGCCTCAAAGATAGGTGTATAGAATTATTTTCTCTTCTCTGATTTTTAGATTATTTGCAGAACCTACTCTATCTCCTGATCATTTTACAAAATTTAGTACATAATTAAGAAAAAAAATATTAGCTTTCTCTAAGTGTACAAGACCTAGGTTATTCAAGTACATACCAACTCATTTTCATAAGAACTAGTCCTTCCCCCCTTCGTAAGATCTCTCAAGGTTCCCTTCCAATAAAACAGATTAAAAGGTAAGTTACAGCCAGCAGGAAAATCAAAATTTATTAAAACAAGAGTTAATGCATGTACAAGCCCACAAGTGTCCAGTTAAAAAGAGGTAAACAATATCTAAGACACATTTATGTCCATGAGAGGATAAATGTTCATCAACAGCACAGGATTTTTCACTCATTTTCATGCAAGCAAACCATTTCAGATACAGTTTGACAACCCAATGTGCAGCTGACTACATTAAAATTGCATAGATTGAAGAATATCATGTTTGCACCTTATAATTGAATGGAAATAGGCAATTCCAAGTAGGAGGAACCAAAAAATTAAAAGAGCTCAGCAACTTGACAGCCGAAAACAATTCAATTATCTTGTATTTCAGGGAAAGTATACATATAAGTTCACCATATCTACCTTGTTTGCCCACATAAGGCCACAAGCATTGCAAAGAGTTCTTGGACCAGCTGGCCCCCTACGCATTGCTGGAGTGAACTGCTGACTTACCCCACAATGTTGACATCTTCGTAAACTAATTGCAATTGCATATAAACAAAGCAGTAAAGAAAAAAGACCACTATTAGAATTAAGAAATGAAAACATAAAGAAAATAATGTCATAGCCATAGAAGCATCAATCATAGACCTAATGCTTTAATAGCTGAACTTTGCAAATAACAAATACAAATCAAACTCACACAGATTCAGGAGCAGCACCATTGCTTCGATTCGAGTTTACAACATCTGTATTATAAGAATCCTTCGATGATGTAAATTGTCCATTCTTACAATTCATCCTAGCATGAAAATAGAATTGCATAGCATTAATACCAACATTTCAATGTCTCAAATAACACAAGCCTCCATGATGGATAATGATTCACATCTAACAAATGAAGAACAGCAGAATATAAATCACTCTAAGAAAACATATAAACTCAAATAAGTATAAATTAATAAAGATATCAATGAACCTACACTCACATATCTCAGCAAATTTATATGCAAAAATAGCTTCACCTACTATGCTTGCACCAAATTTGAGGATGTATGTTCTAATGCACTGAGTTATACATTTGTTTATGTGTGAGAAAGGAGGAGAAACCCAAAGTGAAGTTCACATCATATACAACCAGTATCAAAACCCCTCATTTTTTTCCCAGTGCAGATTGTAGAGAATTGCAGGGACAATTAAGAGTGCATGACAATAAAGATTTTACAATTGCTCTATTCTTGAAAAAAGAACAATTAGAGTACACTTATCTCCTATCATGTACTCCCTTTCTTAAGTAAGAATGGAGTACTTGCGGAACAGAGTTAGCACCTTACCTCTCAGCAACCTCTTTCCGACAACTATACCTAATTTTCTTTTCAAAGCATCTTTCTTTCCGCTTTTCACGAAATCTCATGAGAGAGGCAATTCTTCGTGAAAGCTTTGACCCATGTGAGGCATTTCCCACAACCTGGAAGAGAGATTATCAGTAAACATTGACAATGTAACACAGCTTTACATAATTTTCTATAAGAAAGGTAGTATTGATGTGATACAACCTTTACGTTTTCTTGGAGAAAACCTTCAGAGTTGGGAACAGCAGCAGGAATATCACACTCCCCCAGCAATAAAAGCAGTGCTTGCACCTGACATACGCATTCCACCAAGTTAAGAAACAAAAATACACCAAAACAGAACTCCTAAAGCTTTCAATTATCTAAAAATTGCTTATAAAACAATAAACCGAATTTCAGAACATCGTCACAATGTCCAATGTGGCTTGCTTCCCTCAATTATTCCTACATACTCGCCACTATGAGAAATAATAGAAAACATTGAAGCCCCAACCACCGAAAGCACACCTTAAATTTTACATTCTTTTAAAACAAATAACACAAGAAATTAAACCAAAAAAAAAGAAAAGAAAAGAAAAAAAGCGTAACCTTCTGAGGAGCTACTGCAGGGAAGACATAGACCTCGCCTTCGAAGGAAAGAGTGAGTTCACCGGTGCAAGTTGACTCAGTAGAACCAGGTCTACCATTAGTGTCCTCATGGTTGACCGACCAAACTTGAGCTTCTTCTTCATTTACTTCCCTTTCGGAGTCAAACAATCCGGCTTCTTCGGCGTCATTTTGGTTCGCCGAATGATGATGATTATTGCTATTATTATTATTACGGTCTTCAAAGTCTCCGTAGGGTCGCGCTTGAAGTGGTCGTGGATTCATTGCATACACTTCTCTACCATATCAAACATAAATACATGTCTAAAATAAATATTATGGTTCTCAGAAAACAAAATTTTCTCGGCTGCCAAACAGAAACCCTAAATCAGAATGGTTTACTGAATGAGACGGAGTTCCGCTACAGATTTTGGTAAAAATTAGTTTCCATTTTCAAAGAGAAAATAGAATATACATACAAGTCTCCAAGCGTGGGCGTAGCTTCACAACACACAAATATATAAAATACAAATAAGCTGAGTAAAATTACTGATGATATATTCCTAATTAAATTTTGTTTTTTAGTAGGTCATATAATAAAATGTCTTTTTAGTTAATATTGAACTATTATTGTATGCATTTTAATCAAACTTCGTAAAAGAATAAAATAATTAATAATCATAATATCTAAGATAATTTGACATGTTTTTGTTTCTTTATGATCGGGTTGTCTGGACCAACTTATGTATATCTCAACTAATTTTTCGAGTACTTTAAAACTATCGATCGAGTAAGAGTTTTAATATGATCACACTAATTAAGGGTTATGAGGATTTAAACTTGAAAGATTGTGTAAACGTAAATCCTCTTTTATATATATATATATATATATATATATATATATATGTATATATATATAAAATCAGATTATCCAATAATGATAAATATTAAGTTTAACAAAAAAAGTCTATGCACAAAACTAATTAACCGAGCTGAATCAATTGGATTTAAATTAATTTGGTTTGATTCCGGTTATTAATTGAACAGGTTGATGGGTCAAACCTAAATCAACTTGGACCATGCACATTGAAACGCTACATGATGATGGTGTGATCAACTCAGTACCATTTAACATGAAAAGCTAATAATTGGCAACAATGATCAAAGATTTATCAGTTTCAAAATCGCAGAATAAAGCTTAGTGATACATCAATGTATAAACAAAAATTTACAACAAATAATTTGTCACTCTAGAATTAAGGAAATAAAATTATTTTAATTTAAGTTTTTAAATAAAATTTGAGAAATACTAATTTATATGGTTGGTGTTTCGAAGAAAAGAAAACACTCTCTGAGTCTACGCTGCCGAAATAAATAAGGTAGGAGGAGATAAGATCAGAGCCGTCAATCCCGGGGCCCTGTGACGTAAGCTGTCACGTGATGGGGGACTGGAGGCGTACAGGTCGTTAAAGGACAATCAGACGGTTGGTGGAAGATACTGATTTCTGATGTGTCGTCATGCGTAGACTTACGAGGGTTTTTGACGATGCCCGAGAGATGCGGGTCAAAGGAGAAAATGAAAGTGAAAGAATCTCCTTATCAACACGTGGAAAGAACATTTGACGTGACGAAACGGGGCGTATCATATTCTGATTCTGTACAAGGAATGGTACCCGTATGTATTCTTTTTATGATATTTAACCATCCATAAAAATGTAATTTTATTAAACAAATAGTTTTTTTATACAAATCACCCATATGGTTTATACTTTATGATAAGCTTCACAATTAAAAATATTATTGAAAACCAAATATATCTCCTAGAAAAAATTATTTCTTCCCTTTAAAATTGTTTTAACTCTTATCTTTCTCCACTTCTCTAAATTGTTTCAAATATATCAAAGCAGTTGAATAAGAAATAGAGAATTAGGGTTTATGTTTATAAAGTGTTACATAAGAGGAATAAATTAGATGTAATTGTTGATGCAAATCACAAAACTCACTCTCAGTCTCAGTGATTCTGAATTTCCATAGCTACACTTTCAGATAAGAGTAAGAGAATCCCTTTTTCATGCCAGCCCAATAATAGAATAGAATAGAATACATTTTCTATAACAAACGGATTATATACACCAGTTGAACTGTGATGGAAACTTATTACACAGATATCTATTTTACATAAGTTTCAACATAGCACAGAGATGGTTTGTTACTCACTGCTCAGCAGGCATAGCTGAGTTATCACCATTAGCAGCTGCCCTCATGTCGTTGGCATCAGCTTCGCCATCACTCTATCATGAAACCAAGCAAATCAATGTTACAGGCTACGTCCAGAGATGAGAAAGATATAAAACACTTAGAGTCCAATGGAAAGTATGCTCTCCACAGCAGTCATACCTGTTCAGTTGTCTTAGCAGAAGGATCTTCGACACCAATCACTGGATTCCTGGAAACCTCTCTCAAAACTCCCTGTACCGTGTCAATGCAGAAGCATAATCAATTATTTTTTGAATTTACTAGGATATAAGTAAGCACAGAATGTATGTTGCTTGTTAACTTCATTCAAATTAAGCAGAAAAAAGAATGCTAAGGAGACAAATGAGTTCAGAAAATAGAAATTCCTAAAGACCCTAAATTAAGGTACCAGTAAACTATGACAGCTAAATGCAAAGTTAAAAACACCAGCGAGGATAGACTAGATGGCAATAAAGCAACAGAAGTAATAACATGTAGTGAAGTCTTCCAATAAATTAAGGCCATGATTGTCCGAAAACCACAAGTAACACTTCTGCCTTAAAAAAAAGCATAAGAACAGATTTTTTTTCTTTTCTTCAGAATTTCTATAATGAATGAATTAGGAATAAGATGACTCTATACAGCCAGGGATTCAAAACCATGAGATTTTTTAAGTTAATATAAATATGGAAAGGCATGTAGATATTCAGCTACATTTCCTGACCATACATTCAGTGAAAGTTGGACATTCATCTTTTGTGCATGTGCAACTCAATTACCTCAAAATCCAGAGTTCACTTGAAGACTAAGTTTTGGGAGTGCTTCTTGAATACAAGCATCTTTTATCATGATGAAAAATTAACAGTCAAATCCAACGTCTTGTCCAAGGACAGATTGCTGGCATCATACTTCCTTCATAATAATTTCTCTTACGTAAATTACAGATACTCACTGATTACACAATCTCACTCCAGTTACAGACAACATCCTTTCAGTAAAAGGAAAAAAAACAAATTACTTCAACTAGTCCATTACTGGAGCAAAACAGAATGCCGCTTTCCTGCAAGTGAGAATAAGCAAAGCTATTTTGAAAGTTCTAAATCCAAAGTAGCTTTAAGAAACCGCTTGACCTAAAGTTTAAGCTAATAGACAAGGACCCAATAACAAATACAACCATAATCACAAGCACATCTTTTCTTTTAGTTTTTTTGTATACCCAAAAATCTCTTGACCCTTCCAACATATTCAAGGAGATTTAAACTGGGAGCTACTTTCCAGACCCTACAAACGTTTGGTAGCCAATAAACTTGGTGGCTATTATACCCCAAGTCAGTGGCTCCAAATGGATTTCAACTCTTGACCTCTTAGTTGAAACCAAGGGGCTTTACCACTAAGCCAAACCTTGGGTTAGAAACACAACTTATTATGAATTAATTAAAACAATATGAGGACAAGACTACTTGGTCAACTTAACTCTGATACCATATTAAGAAACCATGAGTGGAGAATGAGGGTCTAACAATAATATATAAGCTTCTAAATAACTTCATTAATAGTCATAAAATACATGACAAATCATAGAAATGAGTTCAATGACATTTAATACAGCACTCTAACCATCTCATTTCACAAAAATCATTAAATCACCATGCATATGGTCAATGCAATAGTAAAGGACTAAATGCACAATTGCAAAGAAAATTACATGTATTTTATTGAAGTATAACATTTCATGAACAAGTAAATTTTCAAAAAATGCAAACCTTGTTAGCCCACTTGAGCCCACATGCATTGCAGAGAGACCTTGGACCAGCAGGCCCACGACGCATCATTGGAGTGGATTTGGAACTGATTCCACAGTGAGTACATCTACAGAAAGAATCAAGAAAAGAAATGAATAATCAGCATTTATTTCAAACAGAGAAAATTGAAATTCCCACCCAAACTTTGTCATTAACATCTTTCAGTGAGACACAAGACCAATCTGAAAAATTAAATGCTGTCAGTTAACAATGGCTAAAAGATTGAGACTCACGAAATTTCCTGTGCACTTTCATCTGGTCCCGCTCCATTCCAACCTGAAGAAGTTGAACCCACTTCATCAGAACTAGCTTTTGCTGATGTGAACTGGCCCTTCTTACGCTGCATCCTGACATGACAGCAAAGAACAAGCATTCTTCCTTTAGTTTCACAATCCAGTGCTAATAGTTCTTCAAAAAATCTCTAACCTATTATAGCACCCAAAAAGGAAAAAGGTACATAACAAGAGTCACAAGACTATTCCTACATTTGTGAGACAAATAGGGGAGATTTGAGCTTTTTGATAACAAATTTTGATCTCCAATTTGAGATTTCAAATTATAGGGAAGTACCATAGAATAAAGAAATCTACAAACGATATTCTTGGTCTTAAGAGAAATTGAGCCAAGGAAAAAAGGAGATGACGCTTGATTCATCCCATTTAAGGGGTATTGATGCTACAAATTTGGAGGGAAGATTCCCTTTTAAATAATTCCCAATTTTACCCTTTATTGTCGTTGTATATACAAATTGAACTATAAGTATCTGTGTGGACATCAGCGTGTTACATCAGCACGAGTTTATCCATCCCAGTTTTGCTATGGAAAAACAATAATCTTTATCTGGAGACAAATAAACTGTGAAATACATGGTTCCACCATCTTTTCTTTGTCTTCTCTTCTCAAAATCATGCAGGCACTAGAGCTACAAGATAAAATTAAGGTTCCTCCCATCCCAATTAACTACCAAAGGAAAGAAAAGAAAAAGACTACAAGAAAACAAGGTGTCATTCAGAATATCATATTCTGAAAAGAGGATGATAAGCTTCTACTAAGCAAGTTGTATTATCAAACGACATTTGTACACTACTTTTTGCTGATTACAGTTTCCACACAAAACAAGAGACCCTCAATCTGGAAAGAGAAGAAAGGCAAATAGAATAGAAATTTATCTTTAAAATACCTAAGTTACCTAAGTGCCACTTCTTTTCGCACGTTGTATCGAATTTTCTTATCAAAGCACCTCTCTTTTCTCTTCTCTCGGAACCGGTTTAAAGATGCAACTCTCTGTGGTTGAATTGACCTAGCAGAAAAGTCAAGACCGTCCTAAATAAATGTGGAAGCAGCAATGAGAATAATAACAAAATAATGCTGCCTCAGAAAGATATAAACATAAGTACCATAATTGAGGTAATCAAGTACCTTTTGATTTACTGGGACTGTCCCAATGGCAGGAATGGCAGAAGGGATTTCATATCCGCCCAAAAGTAACAACACTGCCTGCACCTGTGAAAATCAACAACCACAAAATTTTATAATGCCTCACATGATTCCTTTATATTCTATAAAGCAACACAATTAAAAAAACCTAACTGAATTCATCAACAGAAAAATCAAACAGAAGTTAAAAGCAAAATTGACAAAATAAACCAAAAACCCACATTAAATGAAAGTAAACACTTTCTTGAACAGACCATGGTTTGGTTCACTGATTAATCAAAACCATAAAACCCACTTAAGTGCATAAGACACTTTTGATCACAGAAACACCATGTCATACGGTCAATTATCCGCAACTCAGAGCGCCTTAAGTTACATAAACAAAGATTAAAATCCAAAAATTACAAGAAAATTCCCAAACTGCACCACTTCACAAATATGTCCAGATAGAACAGCACCCAAAAAAAAAAAAAAAAAAAAAATCATAAAACTGACCAATACACCATCAAAACACCTAATATACCACACAATTCATGAAACAAAGCAAAACCCAGATGCCAAAATATTAAACATTTTATTATTAAGGGAGGAAAAAAAAAAAAAAACTAAACCTTATCAGGCGAAACGGCGTCAAACACATAAACCTCGCCCTGAAACGACAGCGTAAGCTGATCAGAAGCGCCATTACCGGCAGGAACGGCAGAGAAGTCGGAACCAGGCACAAAGGAACCGTTTGAAAGAGGAACAATATTTTGAACACCACCATTCATAACCGAGACGACTGTGTCGTTTTGGTAGTGAATCTGGGGAGGGTTATCAATGGACTCCTCTCCATTGGCAACATCTTCATCATCATCTTCTTCTTCTTGGTGAGAAATCATGGGCCCACAGGGGTACATTGAAGCTTGGTGGTTTGAGTTTGGCATTGTTATTTTAAATCATTACAAATTTGAAGAAGATCAATATAAAAAATTAAGAACACTAAAATTCTTTAGGAAAAAAAGAGTAGAACAACTAAAAAAAAATCCAAAATTAAATGAAAAAAAAAAAAGAAAAAAAGGCTGGAACTGCGAGAAAAGAGATGAGAGTTGTTGGAGAGATGGAGTTTGGATAAAGGGTTAGTTTGTAAATGTGAAATACAGGGAGTTGGAGGATTGTGATTGGAGGAATATTCCATTCATTCACCACAATATGATTCTATGAATAATTTATCTTTAAAACTAAAATTTATAAATATCCATTGCAATAAGAAGTGAGGTGCAAATTAGATTTTAATTTTATATAAACTAAATTTGATTAGATTCTAATTATCAATTTATTGTAAAAACCAAAATTAATTAGAGTACTTGTAAAATGTTTATCTGCTAAGTAAATGACTTTTTCCCACCCAAATAATAGCTTAATAACAATTTCTCACCTACAGACTTTTAAAATATGATTTTATTACTCAAATTTATATTTTGTTTTCGATTTTAGTATCGTTGCAACCCCAACCCATCATCATTCTCTTCTCCGATCATCACTCGTCAAAACCCCTCAAACTCTACTCCTGTCAATCTCGTCAATTGCTAACAATCGAGCGGTTAAAGTTTGTACCACTGTCCGTCCTAAGTCAAATTTTGATCCATCTTAACTACAAAAATCTAACATTCTACTATCAAAAGACTCATTGGTTGAGACTCTTTAAAAGTCTCAATAGCCTAAACCAAGTTTGCTCTTTATTAGCTGTCGAAATATAAATTTAGGTAATAAAATTGTATTTTAAAAATTTGTGGGTGAGAAAGTGTTATTAAGCTATTATTTAGGTGGGAAAAAGTTATTAACTCTTATCTACTTGTTTATTTATAATAAGTTAAAAAAATTGTTTTGTATTTGAAAAATTACTTATAAGTTAAATCAATAAATGTGTGTTATGAATGATATTGATTAATATGAAGATATTGTAAGGAAAAGAATATAAAAAGACAAAATAAAATTATTTTAATATTTTTTAATAATAATTAATAACGGAAAAATCTCACAAAAATAGATTGAAATAAATTTATGCATAATTAATCTTTCTTTCCTTGATAATAAGCCCTTAATAATTCGTGCAAAATACTAGTTAAATTATTTGAATATGTATATCATATTTGGCATAAAATCTAATGAAACTTTACTTTAAATTAAAAAAAAAAAAAAATATATATATATATATATTAAGATTTTTAATTTTTTAAAAATTCCATAGTAAATGAAAAGAAAATGGAAATATTACACAGTGAAAACATATAAAAGAATAAATAAAATATAAATAGAGATAACATCAAAATAAAATGAGAACCATTATAACTATATAAATATAAAAGAATGGTAAGGAGAAAAACAGAGTGAAAGTGAGAGAAAAAAGATGAACGTGGAAGAGGAGGTTCAACGACTCAAGGAAGAAATTCAGAGGCTAGGCAAGGTTCAGCCTGATGGCTCTTACAAGGTTCCCACTCTCTTTCTCTCCCTGGGATTTTTTTTTTTTTTTTTTTTTAATATAAGTATTTTTTTCTTTTACATTTGATCTGGATCTACATTGCTGGGAGCATGTCAAATGATGGATCTTTCATTATTTACTTAAATTAGTTTCATTGTTGGTGCATCTTTTATTAATGGGTATGCCTTAAAATTTCTGGAATCTCATTTTGAATGCCGAAAATATCATCTTTCAGGAGCTCACTCTGTGAAATACTTGGCCTGTTTGCTTTTAAGCTTTTGTGTGGCTAACAACAGTTTGAAATGGAAATAAAACTGCAACTATCAAGTGAATTAATGTTGTTAATATGAAAAGGTATGCAAAATTTAATCTTGTTTGTGATTTGTGTGGCCTAATTGAAATATATAATCTAGACTGGTAGATAAGATCAGAAACTCTGGATTTACTTGAGATGATTAATTTTACAATGGAGGAAACGGTTTTATTTTCTCTTTGGTATTTTGTCATTTCAGTTTGATTATGTATTGTTGATCGTTTATGTGAATATTTCTCTTGTTGTATCAAATTATCAAATTTTCCCTTTTCTGCAAGTACGGTGACAATGTTGACTTTTTCAGTATGTGGGATGAAGAGTTTGACTGACATGATATCAATAGATAGCAAATGGTGATAATGTTCATTTTGAGTAATCTGCATGGTTGACATGTTTGATTGTCTTTCTCTTATTGCCCCTTATGCTTTATTAGTAGAGTTGTTTGAACCCAATTTGTTGAAAGGCAAAGACTAGAACATCTTGGAGGTGAAAGATTTAGAAGGCCATTTGCATTATGGATGTTTATGAATGCTAGAATTGGGATTGTGAAAGTTGGAAGATCTCATGTTGAATCTGAGGATAGGGAATGTCTGCTAGAACTTTTAGGTTCCTTTTTTGAGTAACTTTCTGGAACTCATTATCCTTGTAATGTTGGCAACTTTCACTGTTTGAATTAGGAAGTTGAACTGAAGATCTCCATCTAAGGCATTACCAGTTAGCAGGGTATTCCTTGAGTTATAGCTATAATATTTGCAGTATAGATAGAGCTTTGATCTCCATTGATCTGTCTTTTTACTTAAAATTGCTACATCATATGGGCATACCTTTGTGGGTTTAGGATCATAAATGAAGTTTATAGGTCATTTAGTTGTTTATCAGGAGAGATCTAGTCAGGTGAAGTAAAATAGGAGTCCATGAAGGAGGAAGAATGTCAGAAGCCTCATCTGTCTATCTAAGATTTCTGAATTGAAATTATTTTGTTCGATTAATAGCCGTAATTTAGGAAAAGAATTTGGTTGCTGGGAAGCATACTGATAACATATCATATGCAAGTTCATAGACAAATCGTGCAGATGAAGCCTTCGTGTTTGTTACATTCATAAGTTATCTCTCTAGCATTTTTTAACCTGCAGATGAAGCCTACGTGTTTGTTACATTCATAAGTTATCTCTAATAGCAGTTTCTAACCTGTCTCTTTAACTTTTGATACTGCTAACTGATAAATTTGTGTTTTTATGGAAACAACCAAGCATAAATGATGTCAATACATAATCATTGCTTTCTAATACAAGGTCCAATTTGATTTCTGTTTTGCAGGTCACATTTGGAGTGCTATTTAATGATGATAGGTGTGCAAACATATTTGAAGCACTTGTTGGGACACTGAGAGCAGCAAAGAGGCGTAAAATTGTTACATATGATGGTGAGCTTCTGCTGCAAGGAGTCCATGATAATGTGGAAATCATACTTAAACCAACGCCAGCACCTGCATCAGAATCAGCACCAGCACCAGCCACAACCTAGTCAAAAGGCTTTGAGCAGAGATTGCTATGCTGCAAATCCCGTTATATTGATTAGTCATGATGTGTGTATATTGTCAATTTATTCCATGTTCGAGCTTCCCTTTGCATTCCTTTTATTTCTTTGAATCAGAAGTCAAGCTGAAGGACACCATGTTTGTACCCACTTTATACTTATAATATGTTAATCGATAAATGGAAACTGGAGGGTCTCAGTGCCATACAGCTTGGTCCTTTGCTTTAAAGAGTGGGTTTTTCATATCATTTGTGCCACGGTTTTGTGACAACTTTTATCATATAATTTGACGACAAATTCTGGAAACTAAAGCTTCTGTTCTTTCAAATAAAGACCTGGCAATTGGCATTAGAGAAAGCATGGTATTCCAGTGTAGCACAGAATTATTCTGGAATGTGATAAGATATCAACAGCTCTGAAGGTGAGCAATAAGTCTCGGTGATAAGAAAGTGAATAAAAGATATAAATAATTCAGAATTCATAATGGAACCTTTAGAAAAAAGCTCTATAATCCTTTGGACACCACTCATGCCCAGGCAAATGATTTGAAGTTCAGAATAGTATTATTTTTTGGACACCAAATAATGAAAGCATATGTTTTGAGTTTATTGTTTGTGTTACCAATAAATTAAAAAGTTAAACATTTCTGTAAACAGTTGTAAGAATATTAACAAGGTGTTCCTCTATTGTCCCGCTGCCATCCCAACTCCGACCTTCAAATACAAAAGCAAAAATAAAATCCCCGCGAATATTCAATAATAACAGTTCCCTACAAAAAATTTGTGTTTTGAATTCTTTTGTAGGGTTGGCATGGATATAATAATGTACAGATTTGACTACTACACAAGCAACAAGCTGGAGTTATCTTCACCGGGAAAATAATGTTAAAGTGAGCTACAACACAGGCAACAGACTGGACTTCTCTTTGCCTGTGAAGATTAATTAGTTGTGGTTGAGGATGATATCGTTATGATGGTCCGGTGAGGATGAATGCTTGGAGGAGGCTCTGAGCTGCCTGGGTTTCATCTGGTGTCCCGGATATCACTATAATCCTATCAGTTGACCCTAAGCGAGGTTCGTGCACGATGACCTTAGCACCGGAAATCTGATCAAGTAGATTAAGTTGGAGTTCATTAAGTAAATACACCATATATAAATTTTTAATAAATTGAAAAGAGATTAGCTTCAAATTGACTAACGAACCATAATTTTAATGTTTTAAGGCTGTTAAGAGTTGATCTCTTTAGCACACTTCATATATATATAACCAAAATTCAATCAATAAGCAGCTTGTGGCATAAATCTAAAAACTAGTCCATCTAGCTTTGTAATGTACTTAAGGACATATTTCTTTCATACCAAGTAGGGATGAATTTCTCTCTCTCTCTCCCACAGGCACACAAACTACTTTATTTCAGATTCCTGGGAATGATTTTTTTTTTTAATTATTTCATTGTTTCACATTCCTAGGAATTCTCTCTCTCTCTCTCACACACACACACACATACATAACTTGGGAATAAATTTTTTTCAACTACTTTATTGTTTCATTTTGGGGAACTATTCATCCCCAAAATGAATTTCTATTAATTATTCCTTAGTTTCACTCGAGAAACTCACTTTCCCTCCCATATACAAATTACAAATTTATCTAACATTAAGAAATATTTTTACTAGTTCGTGTTCTGGTGAAAATACTGCCAATGAAACAAAACTAGTACTAGGTAAATTCATCGGATGAGGGATACCTGTTTCAGACGAGCCAGATTGCTACCATTCTCTCCATAAACAGAGCCAATAACATTCTCAGGAACTATAATCTCCACGGTTGTATTTGTCACAATAGCAGTTTTGTTTCCACTGCAGAAAACAGATCAAAGACTCAGAATCTAATAAAAGCAAGCCATGCTGGCCATTTTGAACAATGTTTCTCTTTATCTTTGCCCTCTTCACTGTTCCATCCATCATGCAAAACATCTAGTTTATTGCAATGTCAAAAAAACATCTCAGATACAAGTAATTTGCAGGATTCCAGAACTTTACTTTTCAGGCCAAAGTAAGACTGATCCGTGATTGTCTGGATGATGTCAGTCAAATGAATAAAGCACTGAAGCAGCTACATCAACTAGTTACGTCATTGATATTTCAAATTCAATCAGACAAAGGGTGCAAACTGATATCATGAGAATACATAAAGGGCCAAAACTAGAACTTGTAATACATGGGAATTTTATTTATTTATTTATTTTTTTTTTTTTTTTTTTGTGCAATAAGATAAATTACATCCTGGATTGTAAACCAATGAAGTGGCATACTGAAGTTGAAATCCACAAATTGGAGAGACAGACTTCACACACCAAGATTGAAATTATTAAAGAGAACAATATTTTTTTTCTCTCCTACGTTTTTTAGAACATTTAAGACAGCAATGAGTGGGCTCATTGTTGAACTAACTTATGCATTCAAGTATCCTGACAATGTCAAATGATCAGACATGTGAGATGATATGTAGTGCTTCCTAGTGAGATGATATAATGGGATTGCTAGCAACCCGACAGGGAATGGAATTTGTGTCAAGTATGATGATCAGATGATCTTAAACTCAGTAGAATATATTTCCTATTGTCCAAAATTAAATTCGGAATCAATTGGTTGTGCCATTCATGAGTTTAGTATAACAAACCATGTAAGATACAAGCAATTCTTAGCAGAACAAAACTTATATTTGCATACAATATGTTGTTCATACAAACCTGCCAAGTTCCAAGCCACCTTTAAGATGAACCCGACCTCTGCTGACATCTGTTATGGCCCATGGATGAACTCCACTTACTGCCTGTAATCAAACCCGACCATGAGCTGAAAAATATATAAATAAAGTCCAAACAATGTTTTGATATAGATATATTTTTATGGGTGGGGGGTGAGAGAGAGATTCTACCTGTGACGCCCATAACCTTGGTGAAGGAGGACAATCTAGACTACAGGAAAATCCAATATGATCCATACTCTGTGTTAGGGTTGGATGTCGACTAACACTATGAGAAACACCAACTGATGATGGTAACCCAAAAGAGGCAGGTTCCCTCAATCTTCCATATGGACTAGTGTCAGCTAATACAGAGTTAGTACTCCGTATTCCAGCGTTGTTCAGCGAGCTGGAAAAAAGATTATCTCGTAGTCTACCAGTAACATTATATACTGCATCTTTCACCTTTGCAAACTCTCCTGAAATCTGTAAATTAAACAAAAAAATATAGAAAATTATAAAACTTGGCTCCAATCATAAGATAAAAAAACTCAAATGCCATGAAGTTCTCAGATCCCATGCTCATTCATAAGCCGTTTCTATGCTTAAACATTCTTTACTATTATTGCTAGGAAACAAAGAAGAATTAGTATAAAATCAAAATGACAAGCTCACCTAGAGACCCTGAAATAGCTATACAGAAATATTTTTAGTTGAAACTAACAGCAGATAAAGACCCAAATTCAAAGATAAAAAAACAAAAAATCCTTCCGAGAATGCACATTAGAGAACATTAAAAAAGAAGAGCATAGCAATATCTACGCATGCAACAATCTCTTCATAATTCTTGTTTGAGGTGGGGGTGAATCACAGACTATACAAAAAATCACAGGATAAAATTAAGAAGTATGACAAGTGGTAGCTGGGTTGAAGTCAAGTAGTTGTCTTAACAGGAGCTATTTACATGCTTTCATGTACGTGATACCAGAGTGTTTTGTCAAAACTTATCCTTTAGGACTAAGAAAGCCTCTCTAACAAGTGTACTGACAGAGCAATAAGAAAACATCAACAAATAATTAACATTCAAAATGAGATAGAGATATCCAATATAGTCTCTATATTCTCCACCTCTTGATTTTTTGTAGCCCTCAACTATTCACCTATTCAGTGCTAAGGCTTTCACAACCACATAGTGATAAATGAAGAACTTCATGGCATTTGGGGAGTTCACTAACCTAGTTTCTTCTGCTTTGCATGGAATTTGGTCAGGGGAACAATGTGTAACCCCAAGTTTCTCCAAGTCGAAAGGTTAACCTAAGTTTAATACTACAATAACATCTCCTAAACTCAATTTATTTCTACAAACTTATATCAAGATGCACTTTATTGTATTATCTCAAGGTTTCCACTCAGATTTCCTTTAAATTTATGTCACGGTAGGATTTGTTTCCAGACTCCATCAGTTTATTATTTCATGCATATGACAAAGCAAGCATGCTTAATAATTATGTTCAATTCCCAGAAATCCAAGGTAATCCTTTATTCTCTTGACTCCAAAAGTCCCTTTACAAATTTACATACAATTTCCTCCAACGCTCCTTTAGGGCAGCATGGCCCTGGTTCACTCACATCAACATGATTTGCATCATATATAAGTTAGCTCTACCAAATTTTACTTCCAACCTACAATAGATTTCACTAATTTAAACCTTTTACATTAACATACAATAAAATTTCGCAATAGAAAGCATTTGTTCTCCACCACCCCACCCCCCCCCCAACAAAAAAAGGGGGTATTGCATCCTTGCATAATAAAAAAAGAATTTGACAACTTTTACGGAGAAAACTTGCATTTGAAACCTGCAAACATGAATCTTAGTTGTTGACATGACAGATTTCTTTCTTTAGACAAGAAATTGAAATCATGTATATTAAAAGAAAAGGAAAATAAGTTACAAAAAAGAAAAAAGGGCCAGGTTTATACAGAAAAAACAAAACTAAATTAAGACACCATAGCTTGTGAACAATTATTATAGCCCAAATTAATAACATAGGGAGATTGCTATTAAGCCACTTGGGGTTGGGGGGGTGGGGGTGGGGGGAGAGGGGTCGGCGGGCGAATCTGAAATCTCACAGTTAATGGATAATCTAGATCAAAATAGAATGGTCAACAAATAACATACTACTCGAACCCAAAACATTAGGACAATAATTAGTGAAATTATACATCATTATTTTGCTTAATTTAGTTGAGATTATGGCAACTTGGACGACCAAAAAACAAGGTGCACATGTTCCAATAAGTTGAAAAACTGAAGAAGGGAAGTAACTAGTTGCCCCCACCCAACAGCAAAAGTAAAAGAAAAATTAGCCATCTAGAGCTCCAGCACAGTACTCAACAAAAGTAAGAGATAAAGGAAACCTTCCGCACCTGTACAACTTTATCATTATCTGAGGTACACTTTGGGACCTGTTCACCTATTATACGTATGCCAGTACCAGTTGCCTTCCGCATTTCTGAGATTATAATGCCTCCTTTTCCTAACAAACAACCAACCTGAATTGATGCAACTACAAGCCGAGCAATAACAGGAAACCCCTTATTTGCGCTCAAATCAGGTCCCTTTTCAAATCCAGCCTCTATTAATCTAGAGAAAACAAGGACAACAGCTTTTTGTGCTGGAGAATATCGCGATTCTGGGTTCTACAAGAGATGAAACCAAAGTAAAAAAAAAAAAAAAAGTCATAAATTCTCTCACATTTTAAGTTGCACCTGTGTAGAAAATTTTAAAGAAACATCATAGCACAACAAACCTCTGATGCGCTAACAGTGATTAACCGTTCGTCACAGTCAGCTACAGTAGATCCAACACTTATGGATGCGCCTGTCTCATTCTGAAGAGCCTTGACAATGCTGCCTCCCTTTCCAATAACACCCCCAACCTTGTCATTAGAACAAAGGATTCTAAAACTTACTTCCTGCTGTTGCATTTTTGTGTCCAGGGTGGAGATCCTGTCTGCCTCTAATGACACAGGATGAACACCAGAAGCATAACTGATGGAGCTACTTGGTATAGTACTTAACAGTGAATTTCGCTGAGATAGAAGATCTACATGAAGATCAGGCAAACTCTCCTGGGGAAGTGCCTCAAAAGGTCTACGCAAAGTCTCTAAGGGAACTGTCTCAAAAGATCTACGTGAAGTCTCAGGGGCAAATGCCTCTAGCGGTCTACGTAAATTCTCTTGTGGAACTGCCTCAAGAGGTCTGCGTATAATATCATGGGGAATTGCCTCAATAGGTCGGCGCATGGTCTCTTGGGATACCACCTCAAGAGGTCTGTGCATACTTTCTAGTGGAACTGCCTCATGAGATTTGCTTCCAATCATCCTTGTCTTGTCAACTGAAGGACAGTCCTGAAGACGGCGAGAGACAGCAATGAGCGCTTTCTTTACGGCCAAAACATCTCCATCAATCTGCACAACACACTGACTCATTTTCATAAGAGAACAAGAAATAACTTATCAACCACAACATAATTTATTCTAGCACATACATCAGCTTATAAGAATCTGATCAAATATAATTATAAGAACATATAACCAACACTCCAACTTTGGGATATGTAAACCCATTTTGCCTAGGTAGACATGTATTATCCTTTCTCGAAAATAAATACCAGAAAGCTACATCTCTATATTCCCCCACCATGGGAGACCTTAATACTTAATCTGACATCTGCTAGTACCAGAACCAAATCACCAGTAGAGATGAAATTTTCCCACCTTCCTAATAGCTCCCAACTGTACTCTTGCATGAGTTATTTTCAACTCAAATCACCTTACAAAGTTATAGAAAAAGATTAGGTGGTACAATCCATATCTGTTTCCCCATGCAAAAAAGAACATCTCTTCCTTCATCTAATAATCCAAATGAGTACACTCAAAGACAAATAAATGGAAAACAGGGAAAAGGGAGTTTTACACCACCTAAACTTGAAAATGAGGAAAGCATCTTAATGACCCTTTCTGCAGTAATGAACAGATTCTTTCTTCTCCAATACTTTACAGAACTTCTATTGTAATAGGCCCCTTACCAAATCCAACTTTAACGTCAAAGCTATCTTAAAATTCAAGAAAAGGAGTTTCCAATAGAATAATCTAGAAAACTCTTTGCCTGATGAATATTTATTGAGACTGTTTTCCCAAATAAGCCATCCTAATCCAATATCATAATTTTGCCATATACCGTGCAATGTTTAATATTTTGAGAAAAGCACCAAAAGCCACCCCCATCACTGGTAAGCAAAACAAAATTAAACATATCCTATCAAGAATAAGAACATGCATATTTTCCCGTTATTCTATTACCTCTTTTATTCGTAGACATTTTAGTGCTTGAAAATGAGTCCAACAGACACTAAGGTCTTATGTGATCTAAAGGCTAAAAAAGCCCCTCCAAAGTAGTAACAGATAATTTTGCAATACCTAGATCTTTATGCAACATTTGCTATAGATATCTCTAAATCAAAGTTTTTCATATACTTATCAATTCCATTAGAGGATACACAAAAATTGAACAATAGGTAGGGTGTGCTTTTCCACAAGCCAGAAATCCTACTGTATAATACTACAATAGTCACATTTCTGCCCACAAGAACCAGCATTACTAAACCGCAACAGTCCAGACAAACAACACACCGACATATGATATACTAAAGAAATCGAATTTTTTTGCCACAAATTGAACAGAAATTCCGCATACCCAGAACAATGCAAGTCTTTAAACTGAAAAACTCCCGTCAGTCACAAAGCCTCTATACATCCTCTACAAAAACGAAAAAAACTAGTATAACTCAACCTCAACCTCGAAAGAATCTAAACAACTAACATTCCAAGCAACAGATATTCAGAATTTCAAGACATAACAACTATGCTCAATACAACTCTTTAATCCACTAAATTGAAGCACAATTACATTACCTNTAAGAATCTGATCAAATATAATTATAAGAACATATAACCAACACTCCAACTTTGGGATATGTAAACCCATTTTGCCTAGGTAGACATGTATTATCCTTTCTCGAAAATAAATACCAGAAAGCTACATCTCTATATTCCCCCACCATGGGAGACCTTAATACTTAATCTGACATCTGCTAGTACCAGAACCAAATCACCAGTAGAGATGAAATTTTCCCACCTTCCTAATAGCTCCCAACTGTACTCTTGCATGAGTTATTTTCAACTCAAATCACCTTACAAAGTTATAGAAAAAGATTAGGTGGTACAATCCATATCTGTTTCCCCATGCAAAAAAGAACATCTCTTCCTTCATCTAATAATCCAAATGAGTACACTCAATGACAAATAAACGGAAAACAGGGAAAAGGGAGTTTTACACCACCTAAACTTGAAAATGAGGAAAGCATCTTATTGACCCTTTCTGCAGTAATGAACAGATTCTTTCTTCTCCAATACTTTACAGAACTTCTATTGTAATAGGCCCCTTACCAAATCCAACTTTAACGTCAAAGCTTTCTTAAAATTCAAGAAAAGGAGTTTCCAATAGAATAATCTAGAAAACTCTTTGCCTGATGAATATTTATTGAGACTGTTTTCCCAAATAAGCCATCCTAATCCAATATCATAATTTTTCCATATACCGTGCAATGTTTAATATTTTGAGAAAAGCACCAAAAGCCACCCCCATCACTGGTAAGCAAAACAAAATTAAACAAATCCTATCAAGAATAAGAACATGCATATTTTCCCGTTATTCTATTACCCTCTTTTATTCGTAGACATTTTAGTGCTTGAAAATGAGTCCAACAGACACTAAGGTCTTATGTGAACTAAAGACTAAAAAAGCCCCTCCAAAGTAGTAACAGATAATTTTGCAATACCTAGATCTTTATGCAACATTTGCTATAGATATCTCAAAATCAAAGTTTTTCATATGCTTATCAATTCCATTAGAGGATACACAAAAATTGAACAATAGGTAGGGTGTGCTTTTCCACAAGCCAGAAATCCTACTGTATAATACTACAATAGTCAAATTTCTGCCCACAAGAACCAGCATTACTAAACCGCAACAGTCCAGACAAACAACACACCGACATATGATTTACTAAAGAAATCGAATTTTTTTGCCACAAATTGAACAGAAATTCCGCATACCCAGAACAATGCAAGTCTTTAAACTGAAAAACTCCCGTCAGTCACAAAGCCTCTATACATCCTCTACAAAAACGAAAAAAACTAGTATAACTCAACCTCAACCTCGAAAGAATCTAAACAACTAACATTCCAAGCAACAGATATTCAGAATTTCAAGACATAACAACTATGCTCAATACAACTCTTTAATCCACTAAATTGAAGCACAATTACATTACCTCCACAATCTCGTCATTAGGACCAGCACAAGCAGACAAATTCTCAGTCAAAACCCTAATCTTACACCCACTCTCTTTCCTTATCTTCTCCACAACTTTCCCCCCTTTCCCAATTATCGAGCCCACCTGGTGCGTCTCCGCCAACAACCGGCACGAAACCACCCCAATTTCAATCCCATCATTCTCCGCCGCCACCTCCAATATCCTCTCGAAAACCCTAATTAACCCCTCCTGCGCCTTGGACACTTCAAAACAATTCCCATCTTTGTCACCCCTATCTTCCCCGTTACCTTCATTCCCATTACTATTTACAAAGCTGCCACTACTCCTACTACTGTTCAAACTCATCCGCGTATCGACATTCGTCGGTCCAATAACCGTAACCACCCTGTCCGGGGAGTCGGCCGGAGCCTCCTCGATCCGGATCTTGACTCCGGTCGAGTTCTGTAGCTGCTTAATGACGTTGCCAGACTTTCCAATGACGCCACCGATGCGTGACGCGTGGCAGAGGAGACGAAAGGCAACGTGTCCGTGGGGAACGTTGAGAGGAGGGGGCGGAGGCTTGGAGCGCTTGTTGGAGGATCCGTTTGCTGTGCTGTACGGGTTCGGGTCGGACATTATCGTACGCTTCATCAGTATCAAGTTTCTTCAATTTTTTTGTGTATAAATTTCCCTTCTTAAACAATTCGTTTGTGGTTTTGTTCCGTATTGTGGGTGAGAGAGAGGGAGGGGTTGGACTTGGGAGTTGCAGTCTTTGGAGTGGGGTTTGCGGTGCTAAAGTGCGCCGGGGCAAGGGGAATTAACTCCCAGACCTTCAAGTTTGCATTAAAAAAATTGACTCTGAAAATATTTTTCAATTTTTTTTAATTTAAAAAAACGGACGTAGCACATTTAGGATTTATTAAACAAATAAAATGGGTTAAAAGTGAAAGGATTTAAATATATATGGGTACTATATAATTAATAGAAGTTTGTTTAAATTTTAAAAATTAAAAATGACCCCCACCCTTCAAAATCGCTTAATCGAGCCAAATACCCAAAAAACAACCGACGACCACCTTTGATTTTTCTGCCATTTTCGGTGACGAAAGTGCCAAACTCCGGCAAATATTTGATCCTAAAGCTTCCTTACACAACATCATGGTGATATTTAGAAAGAGGAGGAAAACCCAACCCCACTTCAGATCCTAGACTCTAGTAGCAGTGGTAGTTCAAAGGTTGTCGAAGAAGACGCTCCGGTGAATCATCTGATGAGTGAAGGTGATCCAAACGCAAAAGAACATAGAGAAAAATCGAAAAACGGTTCTGAAGAGGAGGATGCCGGCGAGAATCAGGCGAGGAGGAGGATGCCGATGAAGAAAGGGTATGTTTTTTTTTTTTTTTTACTTGTTTTTTTTAATTGGATGAGAAATTTGATTGATTTGTGCGAATTTGGGGGAGATGTAGTTGGTTTTATTGTTATGGTAGTTGTGGCGTTTTGTCAAGCAGTTGGCTGGCATTGGGGAAATGGGTGTTTTTGGCCACTCCCCAATGCCATCGAAGCCCATATCCCCCAAATTGGCAGCCTATTGGTTGTTTTGGTTTTTTTTTTTTTTTTTTTTTTTTTTTTTTTTTTTTTTTTTTGCTGATATTTAGTTTATATTGATTGTGCAAATTTTTCGAGCGTATTATAAAGACCAGTGGTTGGAGGTTGTAACGATAAGGTACCGTACTTGCCCGTAAGGGTGACAGTTAGGTCGAGTTGGCAAGTTTTTACGAGAATAATGGAGATTTTACCGAACGAAGAAGAGATAGATCGATTCAAAGAGAGTTGCTTCGGTCATTTGTGAACATCGGAGAAAATTGGAAAAAGGCGTTCTGGGACAGGGAGTGCATTATATGTTGCTGCACTAAGTTAAAAGCTAAAAAAAAAAAAAAATGTTGTTCGTGGTGGATGAAAGCCACTACGTTTTGGTGATGGAATATGTGGGGCATTTCTAGAAGCGGCAAACAAGTGAGAATAAGAGAGTAGGGCAGCCGATAACTTGGCTAAAGTTGGGGGGGGGGGGGGGGGGGGGGGGAGGGGGGAAGGCGTCTATTACGGGGCGTATTTAGAGCAGAGGTTAGAAGAAGTGGGTATATTGTTTGGATTCATACATTTGGACATGGAAATGGTGTAAAATAGAAGAACAAAATGATGGATGGAAGGGAGAAAACAAACATAACGTCAATGGCAATTTTTTTTTTTAAAAAAAATATATATTACCTACTTCTTTGTTATTAAATGCTTGATGTTGAAATTTGGAGTCTAGATTCTTCAAAAGAAATAAAGAAACTCAAAATGTAATCCACCCAAGCCAAAGATGAGAGAGAGCCGAGAGAGTGCCTTTTTGTTTCAATTGTTGCAAATTGAATGAAAATGGTATAACACTTGGTTTATATACCTGGGCACAAAGTGTAATTTTAAATTGTCTTAGGAGGTCCTCAAACAATTTAAAATTAATCTTGGAAAAGAGCATTTAGTCAAGTCCCTGGTTTTTATGGTTAATCATAATTAGCCCAATTTAATCCTATTAATTATTCTAACTCTTTAGAATAAAACCAATGCACTTTTGTCCTATTTATGATCTAATTCAATAATAATATTTAATAAATCCTTATTACCCTTGGTTAGTGCTAGGACTATAAACGAGCCGAGCCAGCTCTGCTCGGCTCAATAAAAGCTCATTTAGAGCTCAGCTCGATAAGGCTCGGTTCGACTCGACTCGAACTCGGTTCATTAATCGAGTCGAGTTCGAACACGATAAAGCTCGGCTTATGGGCTGGCGAGCTTGGCTCGCTTGTGGGCTCGCGAGCCTGGCTCAGCTCGGCTCGATTAAGCACTGTACACTTAATAGGGTATTTTGGTGATTTTTTAAACTATTAGGTATAACTGATATTTTTCAGTGAAAAAAGTTTAAAAAATGATAGTTCCCCCCCCCCCCCCCCCCCCCCAAAGTGCAAATTTGAAATAACACGATACACCAAAACAGAGTGTCAATTACTCAATTTTAGTTCCCCATCCTAGTTGCCCTAAATCCCAAATCGCAATCAAAGACCCCTAAATCCCAAATCGCGAACCAGACACTCTAAAATCGGTAATCTCCTAGGAATGTTATTTGTATATATTCAGAACTGTTTTTTTGATTTTGTAAGGTAATAGACATTTTGTAATGTTCAAAACTATCATGGTTAATTCAACATTGGATATAAATATGAAATGCTGTACGCAGGCGGATTGCTGTAAAAAAAGGGAACTTGGCTCGATCAAACCCGGATAAATGGTGGTTTGATCGAGCCTTATCGAGCTCGAGCTAGACAAGGCTCGCGAGCTCGATATCGAACCGGCTTGCAAGCCGGCTCGAGCTCGACTCGAGCTCGAGTCTCAATTTTGAGGCTCGCCAGGCTCGAGCTCGACACTGTTGTAAACAAGCCGAGCTCAATAAGCCAAAAGCTCGACTCGGCTCGGCTCGTTTACACCCCTAGTTAGTGCTAGCTATCCATGGACAGTCATTTCTCACCAATACATTATTTCAGATGCAACTGTTTACATCCGAACATCATTAATTCGATCAATTATGTGTATTACTCTCTCTTCTTAAGCTTGGTTTTATATGTGACCATTTTGGTTCACTATGATCTAGTCGTGGGCCCAATATCAGATTCTGATATGTTTCATTATAACTCTTTATAATCGAAACTCCCACTGATTATGGTAGACGTCTAGCAATATTCCATAACCCCTAAACCATAATAAAGTGTAAACTCCAATGAACCTATTCTAATCATACGTACCGTGTAGTAAAACCCCTTCGTTATCTAATCCCGATTAAGAATGGTTCATGGTATGTCAAAACCCTTAACTTAATCTTTAATCAAATTGTTAATCGATACAATGGAACGCGTCAAAATGAAACTACTTTTCATCTGACATTCATTATACTCTGGCTAGAGATTTCCTTTTTCCAATGTTTATTGACATTCATCTGGGAACTTGAGATTGGACTATTTTGAATTAATAAATCCCATCTTGACTATCACTTGTCCTTGCACATGAATAACATATGACCAAACCGACTTATTACACAAGACATGACTAGTCTCATGCTTATACACCATATGAACTATATGCATCCTATGTTGAATTCAACCGTGATGTCTCAGGTCTAAGGATCAGTGATACACTAGCACGATCCTACGATGCATCATTGACCACGTCCATGTGATTCATTGTAATCGGTCGTTTTCGATAAATAGTTCACTAACCGTTTATCCATGCTAATATCTTAGTGACATACCTCTTATAATCACCCACACTAATACCATCACATGATATTCAATAGAGACATTCAGCATGCCTACTATGCAATATTATTGCCCAATTAACATTACTTGTGTAGGGAATTCTTCGATAATCTGATCTTTTAAAGATCCGTGTCATCCGGACATTTCACATGCAATATTAATTATAATATAAATGAAGCAGAAATCAACATGTGAAATAAGAACACTTTCTTTTATTCATAATACATTTACAATATATAATGTCCTTAAACCGACAACACGATTGGTTCCTAGGGCATACACTAACAAAACTCCCACTTGCACTAGAGCCAATCGTTGTAGTATCTAATACCCATCTTCTCAAGATGATAGTCCAACTGCTTCTATGTCGTCGCTTTAGTGAGTGGGTCAACTACATTCTCTGTTGAAGGTGTTTTCTACACTAGAATTTCTCTTGCTCCAACAAATTCTCTCAAAATGTGATATTTACGTTGAATATATGACTTCTGGTGCGCTCTTGGCTCATTTGCCTGTGCAATAGCACCAGTATTGTCACAGTACAAGGTTATCAGATAAACCATTTTTGGAACCACACCAAGTTCAATCATGAACTTGCGCATCCAGAAAGCTTCCTTTGCTACTTCTTAAGCGGCAATGTATTCAGCTTCTGTATTGGAATCGACAGTAGTCGACTGTTTTGAACTCTTCCAACTGATTGCACCTCTATTGCATGTGAAAATGAACCTGAATGTAGACTTTCTATCATCCACATTTGATTGAAAATCAGAATGAGAGTATCCATCAATTTTCAACTCTGAACCTCCATAATTTAGTATTAGATCCTTAGTTCTTCTTAAGTACTTAAGGATCGTCTTAACAGCTGACCATTGTTTTTCCCCTGGGTCGGACTGATATCTGCTTGTAACACTCACAACATATGTAGTATCAAGCCTAGTACATAGCATAGAGTACATGAGACTACCTACGGCTGAAGCATAGGGTATCCCACGCATCAACTCACGCTCTTGATCAGTCTTTAGACTCATATCTTTTGAAAGATGATTCCGTGACTGCAAGGCAAAATTCCCCTTTTTGGAGTCTTGCATGCCAAACTGTTTCAACATCTTTTCTATGTACATCTTCTAGGATAAGCCTATTAATCCTTTCGTTCTATCTCTATAGATACGAATTCCTACGATGTAGGTCGCTTCTCCTAAGTCTTTCATGGAGAAAGTTCCGGATAACCACAACTTAACTTCAATCATCATCCCAATGTCATTTCCCATCAATAGTATGTCATCTACATGCAGTATGAGAAATATGATTACATGATCCTTTGTCCATTTATAAACACAGGGTTCATCCAGATTCTTTATAAAACCAAATGTTTTGATTATTTCATCAAACCGGATGTTCCAGCTTCTTGAAGCTTGTTTTAACCTGAAAATGGATTTATGCAACTTGCACACTATATTTCTTTTAGAATTGGATACAAAACCTACAGGTTATTGCATGTAGATATTTTCCTCAATAAATCCATTGAGGAATGTTGTTTTGACATCCATCTTCCATATCTCATAATCATAATGTGCAGCTATGGCTAGCATAATTTTGATTGATTTAAGCATAGTGACTGGTGAGAAAGTTTCCTCATAATCCAACCCTTGTTTTTTAGTATAACCTGTCGCAACCAATCTTGCTTTGTAGGTCTCTACCTTTCCATCTTTGCCAATCTTTCTCTTGAAGATCCATTTACATCTAATAGGAACTATTCCTTCTAGAGGATCAATGAGAGTCCATACTTGATTAGCATACATGGATTCTATCTCAGAATTCATAACTTCTAGCCATTTTCCAGAATCGATATCTAATATCGCTTCTTGATAACTTCTAGGATCATCCCCATGACTGACTTCTCCAATCATGATAGATTCAAAAATCTCTTCATGAAGTAACCCGTATCTTTTCAGAAGTCGAGATACTCTATATCACAAACTGAAACTATTTCAGGTATTAAGGTTTCCTGAAAGGGACCACCCATTTGAGTATTTTCGGTCTGAGGCTCCTCGGACTCTTCTTGGAGCACAATTTTTCTTCCGCGCCACTCTCTTCTAAGAACTCTTTCTCAAGAAAGTGTGCATTCCTACTAATTGAAATTCGTTGATCAGTGTGGAAGTAATAATAATATCCCAAACTATTTTTGGGATACCTTATAAACCGACCTTTTTAAGATCTAACGTCCAACTTATCTGTCTTGACAATCTTGACATAAGCTAGACAACCCCAAATTCTCATATATTTGAGACTATGAGGTAAACCATACCACATCTCATATGGTGTCATCTCAATAGATTTAGATGGTACCCTATTCAGAATATGCACAGCGGATTCAAGGGCAAATCCCCATAGTGACGTTGGCAAGTCCATAAAACTTACCATCGACCGTACCATATCTAATAAAGTACGGTTTCTCCTTTCAGACACACCATTATGTTGCGGCGTATATGGAGGAGTCAACTGGGATATTATACCATTCTCCTTTACAAAATCTCGAAATTTTGTACTTAAGTATTCACCACCACGATCTGATTGTAAAGACTTAATACTCTTTCCGGTTTGTTTCTCTACTTCATTTTTAAACTCTTTAAACTTTTCAAAGGATTCAGATTTGTATTTCATTAAATACAAATACCCGTACCTAGAATAATCGTCAGTAAGGGTAATGAAGTATTGAAAACCTCCTCGAGCCATTTCATTAAATGGTCCGCATACATCTGAATGTATAACCTCTAATAATTCTTTGGATCTTTCCCCTTTACCCTTAAAGGGTGATTTGGTCATTTTTCCTTAAAGACATGATTTTCAAGTTGGATAGGGTTCTGAACCCAATAGGCTTAAAAGCCCATTTGCTTCTAACCTGATTATCCTTTTATCTCCTATATGACTTTAATTGATGATGCCAAAGTAATTTTGGATTAATTTTATTTTGAGATCTCTTATTTGTAATGGTATTAATTATGTCATAATCATTCATTACCAAAACATACAAACCATTTGTATTAATTGTTTTGCCAGCTCATTCATTTCCAAAATAAATTAGACATTCATTTCCATTAAATTGTATTGTGTAACCAGATTTACATAAAACAGAAATAGAAATGAGGTTTCTAGTTGCTTTGGCAAAATGCAAAGTTCTGTACAAATACAAAATATTTCCTGATGGCAATGTCAAATGGCAAGTCCCTACTACCTTGGACGCAACTTTTGCTCCATTTGCCATCTTCAAAATGACTTCACCTTTTAACAGTGCAGAACTATTCCGCAAGGCCTGCAATGAAAAACAAATGTGAGATGTAGCAGCTGAATCTAATATCCAGGAATGATCATTTGAACTAACAGTTAATTCAAATTCTATAACATAAGAATGGAACATGTTAGAAACGATCCATTGAGGCAGAGGAAAACAAAAATTAATAACAACACAGATCGTTCCATAGAACCAAGATCAAGGCACAAATTTACAATTTATATCAAAACAAGAATCCATAGAAAATTAGTTTAGAGTTTAAGAAATCATACGCACGTTTGGAGGCTCCTCTAACTTTGTCTCTGAATGTATTTTGCTACTGACCCAAGTGTAGGATCGAATAGATGTAGTCCACACGAAGATAATCGCAAGGAACTAAAGAGGGATTTGCTAGATCCTCTTTAGTCTTAAGAAACAAAAAGGAAAAATCAAAGAATACTTTGATTCTAAGCAAAAAGCAATCTGGCGTGGGAGAGTGTTTTGGGGCTGCAGATTTTGCTTTTCAATGAATGAATGAATTAATGAAAAATCTATTTCTCTCTCAATTAAACTTTTTCTTTTATAGTGAAAGTTTAATTGCCCTATTCCCCTATGGAATAGGCTTGGGCCCCAACCCAAACACCCCTTGTTTCCAAACACTCCCATTCAGATATTTTTAATTTTGTTTATCATTATCTCAATTAAAATCAAATAATAAATATTTAATATATATTAACATGTAACAATAATGATAATTTATTTAAATATATGCAAGCACATATTTAAACGTAATTTCAATTATTTAATTTTTCTAACAAATTAAATAAAAGGCTACGACCTCAGCAAATTTAATTGCACTATGAAATTACCAAAATACCCTTTCACCTAAAAAGACGAAAGCACCATTCTTTCTTCCTGAGTCTTAAATTATTTTCTATGTGTGTGACCCATAGGCTCCTCATCATATCGGTAGTGTGTAGTATCGCGATTAATACCAATTAATCGTCTCACCAAACACAGACCAAGATTGGTGTAAAACCCCTCCCTAGCCGGGTATTTCCTAAGTATCCCTTGGCCATTGAGAACCTAGAAAACACACGCCTAGGAAAGAAGTTTATTTTAAAATCCTATTTAATAGGAAAGAAGTTTATTTTAAAATCCTATTTAAAGAATAAACTTGTAGTTTAAAACATATATTTAGATATATGTGTTTAATTTTTTTTTCTTAACTATAATAAGTTCATTGTATAATAAAAAAGTATAGTTTCCTTTCTTGGAGTAAATTATGAAATCCATAGTAATACTTACTAGAACATACACACTTTTATAAAATTTACTAGCAATTTGATTTCCTTTATTAACACAAACAATATATATTCCATTATAACGTGGACATAGTTACTACATTATGAGATATAAACATAATTACTACACTAAATATGTAACAACTACTGAAAACTAGTACCATGCATGCATAATAACAATATAAAATTGGGCCCCAAAAATTTCTTTTCATTAGAAATCATATGTCTTTTATACACAAAGATTACTGTTTACAAAAATGCATTTTAAAAGACAACACAGGGGAAAACAGTGTAGCTATTCCTCTTCGCTTGCCGACGCCCCTCCAACTGCGTCATCACCTAGAACCTGCATCCACAAAGGAAAATAACTGGGTGAGCACAAAATAATGCTCAGTAAGTAAAACTCTCTATCTGTCTGTCCCCGTAAGAATAACTCTTAATTCTTTCCTTATACTATTTCTGATTCTATCTCTGTTTCTACTAAACATCATGGCCTCATCTTACCGGAGGTACGGCCGGATGGCGTTCACACAGCACCATCTCGCTCTCTATGGCTATCGGGTGGAATTCACAAAGTACCAACCCGTTCTTAGTGACTACCGAGTGAGGATCACAAAGCACCAACTCGATTCTTCCTAACTATCGGGTGGAGATACTAGGCACCTACCCGTTCCTCATGGATTTTTGGTAACGTTCACCAGCATTTACCCGTCTCTAGTCACTATCGGGTGATGATCACAAAGCATCAACCCGCTTCTACTAACCGTTGGATGATGATCACAAAGCATTCAACCCACTTATCTAATAACTATCGGTAGTGATCACAAAGCATCTACCCCATTTCATTACTCATTGGGTGACGGTCACAAAGCATCGACCCATCTCTAAGGGCTATCGGGTGATGATCACAAAGCATCAATCCGATCTCATAACGGTCGGGTGATGATCACAAAGCATACTCCAACATTACTACTCTTTAAATCATTCTATTGTAGCATTTTTCAATGCTTCTACCTTAGAGTAATTGTAATACTAAGCTCTTACTCATAGAGTATTTGTACAACAAAGTTTCCTACTCTTTCTTAGGTCACTTTTTTATGTACAATTAGTGCCTATGGAGGTTCAATTCCCAATCACTTATGAGATGCCAACATGCAATGTTGCAGGAATTAAGGTTCACTATCACACTCAAACTCTATAGGATTTCATCAACAACTCATGTGCCGATAAAACTCTATTATAGCCATGATTCTAAAACTTTTCTTAACCATCCAAATGGGGAAAAAACCCTACAAAGCCATGAAAACCTGTCAAACAAGACACTTCCAAAAAGGGTTCCATAACACCCCTTCAATTCATCTCAACTACCTTGCAAACAACAACCATTTCTCATATTTGCAAGGTGTAAACATCACAAGCATAGAAATCTTATTTAAACTCCATACATGGCATATCACATTTATATTACATACACATCACATTCTCATCAAAACCCAACAAGAAAAACAAAATCTCAACTTAGGTTGGGTTTTACTTACCTGTTATGGAG